AAAAATATGTGTGTGTGTGTGTGCATGCATGCAGGAGAAGATAGAGGGTGCATCTGGGTGTAGCGACAGCAGCATAGCATTACGAAGCCGTCGTCGCCAGCAAGAGATAAACAATTCAATAGTAGTAGATATATTTGGTGGTTTATATCGTTCTTTCTTAGAATGCCCTTTTTGTTTTCGTTTGTCTATTACTTTTGACCCTTTTATTTATCTTTCTCTTCCTCTTCCTTTTTCTTCTTCTTCTCGTTTTATTTTTTCTTCTTGTTTTTTTTTATCAAAAGCTTTTGCTGCAGATATACAAATCAATCTACCTATTACACTCATACAAGCTAAACAAACTGCTCTTGTTAGTTATTATTATACACTCATTCATTTATTTTATTTTTTATTTTATTTTGTTTTATTTTATTTTGTTTTGTTTTGCTTTGTTTTGTTTTGTTTTCGTTTGTTTTATTTTATTTTATTTTATTTTATTTTTTTTTGTTTTGTTTCCGTTTTTTTGTTTTGTTGTTTTGTTTTTTTGTTGTTTTATTTTGTGTTGTTTTGTTTTATGTTGTTTTATTGTATTTTGTTTTGTTTTATTTGTTTGTCTTTGTTTTGTTTATATTATTTTTTATTTGTTTATTTTAATTTAATTTATTTATTATTTTATTTTTTTTATTTTTTATTTCGTTTTGTATTTTATTATATTTGTTTCTCTATCTTCTTCTTTCTTCTCTTATCCTTCTCTTTTTTTCTCTTTCTTTTTTCTTTCTGTCTCTTTTTCTTTCTTTTTCTTTTTTTTTCTTCTTTCTCCTTGCTTCTCTCTTCTCTCTTTTTCTCTTCTTCTCTCTTCTTTTTTCCTTTTTTTTTCTTTTTTTTTCTTTTTTTTTTTATTATATTTTATCTACCTTCTCTCTCCTCCCTCTCCTTTTTTTTTTTTGCATTTACGCATATACTGTCTCTATCACTAATAAATAAACAAATAAATAAATAATTAATTTATTTTATTTATTTATTTATTTTATTTTATTTTTTTATTTTATTTTATTTTTTTTTATATACAGAGAGTACTGCATGCAGCTCTGAGGGGAGAAATGCCGCATGCAAGTTTAACGGCAGAAGAAAAAAAATGTTTCTCACAACAAATAGCTTATTGTAAGAGGAAAAAAAAAAAAATAAATAAATAAATAAATAAAAATAAATAAATAAATAAATAAATAAATAAAATAAAATAAATATATTAATATATGAATATATTAGGTAGATAAATAAAAACAAATAAATTTAAGCAGAAAAAAAAAAATACTTCTCACAACAAATAGCCTATTGTAAGAAAAAATAAATAAATAAACAAATAAAAATAAATAAATAAATAAATAAATAAATTAAATAAATAAATAAATAAAATAAATATGGTAGTGTATTAGTATATTAAATAAATAAAAACACAAATAAATTTAAGCAGAAGAAAAATTCTTCTCACAGCGGATCGTTTATTGTAAGAAAAAATAAATATAAATAAATAAATAAAATAAAATAAATAAATAAATAAAAATAAATAAAATAAAATAAATATATTAATGGATAAATATATAAATGTATAAATAAATAAATAAATAAATAAATAAATAGAATAAAGAAAATTCTCCATACAACGAATCGCCTACTGTAAGCTAATTAAAATAAATAAAAATAAATAAAAAGTAAATAAAAATAAATAAATACATATTTTTATTTGTATTTATTCATATTTATTTATATTTATTTATATTTATATTTATTTATATTTATTTATATTTATTTATATTTATATTTATTTGTATTTATATTATTATACAAATGGATAGCGAGGTATCTAGCATAGAAAACTAAATAAAAAAATAAATAAAACAAATGAAGAAATAAAACAAAAAACAAAACAAACAAACAAATACATTTATTTATATTTATTTTATTTATTTATTTATTTATTTATTTATTTGTTTATTTATTTATATTTATAAATTATTATTATACAGGTAGCGAGGTATCTAGCATAGAAGAAGTAAAATAAAATATTTTTTTGGTGCAGAAACCTAAATAAAAAAATAAATAAAACAAATGAAGAAATAAAACAAAAAACAAAATAAACAAATCTATTTATATTTATTTATTTATTTATTTATATTTATTTATATATTTTTATTATACAGGTAGCGAGGTATCTAGCATAGAAGAAGTAAGAGAAGAAAATATACTATTGGTGTATAGACGGCCTGGGGACTTCTTGCCGGGCTCTTCTCATCTCGCTGAAGGTTTAAAGCCATTCACACCAGGAGAAGACGTAATTTATTTTTTATTTATTTTTTTTATTTTTATTTTTTATTTTTATTTATTTTTTATTTATTTTTTGTTTATTTATTTTTTATTTTTTGTTTATTTTATTTATTTTTTATTTATTTTTGTTTATTTTATTTATTTTATTTATTTATTTAGTTATTTATTTCTTGTTTATTTATTTTTTATTTATTTATTTTAT